TCATTTGTCCTTTTTAGTTGTGCTTCATAAACTTTATTTTCAGCAGTTCCCCACGTCCGCGCTTCTCTGTCACTTGTTTTTCGGAAGCCAATATTTTTTTTTAAGTGGCAAGAATGTTGGATCGACAGACAGGAAAACACTAAAAAATGTAACACTAAGGCAACGCAGCAAATGTAAACTGTTAATAATATTAATGATGCTAAGATTCGAGTTGGTTACATTGTGTTGAACACATACAACTCACCAAAAAAGAAATATTAATTTGCTTTATCATATATATATCAGATATTTTCTGTTTCTATTAAATAGAGAGATGTACAGTAGATTGTGTGTATACCGTACTATGATTAGTACTTCTATAACCAACCACTAAGAATATTATTAATCATCTGGTCAGTGCAATAATCACTGTATGACGATGAATATGTAAACCTCTGTCAGAAAGGATGAGAGTGAGAGCTGTGTGGTGTTTATCATTGGCCTGTGTGGGACAGAACGGATGGAGGGAGGTCAGAAAGTTAACCTTCAGAGGCCCGAGGGCTGCATGAAGCATCATCACTGCCATCACGATACATGGCCTCAGCATTGCTACACAGCTGGAGGAAATGGAAAATCTGGATCGGCCCATTGGACGTCTGTGTGCACCTGTTGGCTTGCACATCTGTAAGAGTCTGTGTGCATCTGTCTTAGCAGTGTAAATAAAAGGTCATGAAAATGTAGTTAAGAAAGTCAGATGAATACTTTCACCTCTGGTATGCAAGCCAGAAAAGACCGTTGCACTTCAACTTTACAGATAAAGTCAGGAATGGTTTTAAAATCTAAAGTTACAAAGGTGATTTTCTTTGGTCATTCAGCTCGCCTTTTTATCATTTTTCCACTTGATGTTTGTCCATGTGGATTAAAAAGTGCAAAACTGTAATGTTACCTCTAGCTGTTAGTACTCCAGGAGGAGGAAAGGTTAAAAAAATACATCAATGACTCATTACTCAAAGAAACCTTTAGTTATATCATGTTTCAGAGACACGTTAAAGGTTTGGGTGTGTTTTTGGGACTAGGGAGAAACTAAAGGAATCACTAATAATACAAAGTATTGTCAGATACTCATACACAATGCAGTGAGGACTGTGAAGCATAATTTTGACACATTTTAAAATAATTTGTGCAAGAAAAACAGTCATTATTTTTGGTGTTGGACGCTACAGAGGGCAGACCCAGACTCGGATCACAGCTGACCAGTCTGAAGGACAGAAACTGGGTTGATGGACAAACGAGGGGTATTTAATCTTTAGATAGACCTAAAAGACAAACTTAAAAGTCCAGGTAAAGCCAAATAAATCATATATTGTATATTAGTACTGCAAAGGTTTACGTACTGTATTCTTTAAAGAGAACAGTTTTAACCTTGGCTCTGAATCAATGTTCATTTTTCTGAATTAAATCCGTTTTTTCCCTCGTATATCATATGTTTTTAGTAAATGATTAATGTTAAATTAAGATGATAACCCGATATTATTATTATTAGTAGTAGTAGTAGGAGTCGTCGTCGAAGCAGTAGCAGTGATATTGTTGTTGTTTATTTTTTTCAATTCAAACTCAGACGGACTCACTGAGGTGCGGTTTGTTCACACCGGTCCTTCATTAGTGAAACACAAAAAAAGAGACGGAAGGTATCGTTGTACACAGGCGTGTTGCTGCAGCGATAATTAACTCGCGTAAGTATCCAGTTACGGCTCTTTTTTAGTTTTAATTTATCTCCTTTACTGAGTTTTAGTATGAAAACTCCGTAAACTAACCCAACAGATGTCCATATAACAACACTGGAGCTGTCACTTCGGTTACACGGCACTTGTTTACGCAGCGGACCAATAACGTTTTAGAGGAACACACTTGTTTTAAAAACACATAATAAAACACATAAACAGGTGTAGCGTTTTAAATAAACGCCTGGGAAAGTGTTGTGAAAGTCAGAGGAAACTATTTGTAACGTATCACCTGCTTTCACATAGTTAAAAATAAACAAAAAAGTTTATATTACTATTGACAAAATGAATGAAAAGAGCAGCGGTTAGCATAATGACCTAATTACAATAGATATTGCTCACTATATCATTGTTTGTTTGTTTTTTTTACAACCCAAACATAATTTAAGTACAGCGTCAAAACAGTTGTCGGCCACACAATATCCCTGTTTTTAAAAATAATGTATTTACAATTTACAAACATATCTTACATCAGTTGTGCACAGTATATCTTGTAAAGAAAAACGTTAAAAGTACATTATAAACAATATCTTTTGTAAATGTTTTGATAATTTATTAATAATTCAGTGAAAATATTTTTAAACAATACCCCTGTATGAGCATCAGATAAGTAGAGGGGAGAGATAAATTGCTTAAAAAAATAGGTTAATCCAAAGAATCTGCTTGTCTATGTAGCTGTTTGCGTCTCTCCATCGTTCTGTCCTGTGATTCTTAAACACAATAATTTCCGTCCCTTTGTATCTATTAAGTCTTTCCAGTTCAAAGTTCCCTGATTCTGTCTCAAAGCAGCATCTCAAACTGCTGTGATCATGCAGAGTGAAAGACATCAGTCATGATTGAACCGGGACACTTCAGTTTGTATGTTTCAATTGCTCCCAGTGGTATTCTTAATAGGGGTGGAAATCGATACAGCTTTTACTGTCACACTGCAGGGGCGGGGACCGTGTATTGACGTTCAGATGTCATTTTAGGGGGATTTGATGTTTTTGCCTCTTCATTTACGATATGGCGCTGTAGATCAAGTGATGGTCTGTTGTCTCCTTTCTTTCTCTAGGGCTTCACTGGAGCTCTGTGCTGTTCAGATATAATTCTGAACCCATTGTTTACCCCTCACAAAAATGGAATGTGAATCTAAAAATGCCCTTTGTGCCAAGAAAATCATTGCTAGTAAGTCCCAAAACTTTGTTGTGATTAATCTACTTTCATACTATCATTTGCATGCTCTTCAGTTCTTAATTTAATCAGGTGCAGATATGGCATCATCCTCCAGTATTTAAATAGTTGAGTATTTTTTTAGTTTTTAAGTATTGATATTTTGGCTTTTTATACAGGGTAATAAATTAGCAGGAATAAAAGGTCAGGAAATATAAAAATGGAAACATTCATTCTATGGACAACAAAGGCTGCAAGATAATGCCAAAAAAGAAGACAGAAAATAATTTCCTGAATATGAATGAGTTTCTTTTTATGTAAAGTTTTGATTTTAAATGTCAGTTTAAGATTTTGTTTTTGGCTGAAGATAAGTTTATAATTCAAGATTCCTATATCAGGTTAAAAGAATATTGAGCTAATCTGTTGTGACATTCTGCTATTGTGCTCATGTCACGTGTTATTGTTTGGACTGCATAACAACATTTAAACGTACTGTTGAAACTAAAGAGTTAGCATCCCCTCTTCTAATATCTTTATAAAGTCACCTTACTGTAATCAGTCATTTAACTTATCCTCTTGCCATTCTTTTTTATGGGTGTTTTTCCTCTTTCTCCACAGTAGTGCAGGAACCCTGGAGTCGCATTTCAGGCCTGGCTGCTACTCTAAACTCTATAATCTACTTGGCAAATGGTTCGAATGTAGCGACCTCAGCAGAGGCAAATTATTCACTTTAAGGACTCCTGCTGCTGTGGGACCCAGGTCTAGTTCCTGCTGCCGTTAACGTTACCACTTTCGTAGTGCGCAAGCCATCATTATTTATTTAGCCTATTTAGTGTTTAACGTGTAAGAGGTCCACAGGGATGGGCCATGGTTAAAGAAATGACTCCCCATATATACTTTATAAAAGGTAAATCCAACAGGAAGAGGGTTAAAGTAACATAGGAATATTTCAACCCTTCTCATGTTTCCAAGCTAGACCTGATGACATAGTCAAAGGCTCTGAGATGTTTTACATTTACTGAACTGCATTGGGTGAAGGCAGTTAATATGTATATAATAATGTGTCTGACACACGGCTGACAATTGTCTACTCTCAAAGACAAAAGTCCAATTAACCTTCAGTGTTTATCTCGTCCGACCTCAGGATTACCATTAATACCTTAATGTCTGTGTTTCACATTTCTGTTTTTGTTGTGAGTGCATGAACAAAAAACAAGCTGTTGTGGCCATCCCTTTGCCTAAATACATGTTTGATCACAGTAATGGATAAAGGTGATGGCATATTTGTTTTTTTCTGTGTGTGTAGAATAAGAAATCCAAACATTAATAAGTAATCACTGGATGTTGGCTCCTCCATAACATGCAGGGCTGACAGCACTTGGTCCAAGTAATGACACCATTACAAGACTGAAGTAGTCAGCGGCTGCATTTCACCACTGGGAATCGAATCTGTCTCCAGTACACTGCACTACTCTGTAGCTGCTGTAGTACCTACAGTAAATTCACACTGACCCTGTGTACAGAGACACATTTTGACTGAATTTTAATCTAACCTTGTCTTTAATATTGGAAATTCACATTTACATTTGATGGTCTTCTATGACCTTTCTTATTTATAATGCGGTGTCAAAGGATTAAAGTAACTTGTTCTACAAGTAGCAATTAAAACTCTTCCTCAACAATATTAATCAGTCTACAGTTCCTTGGACTTCCATTTGGCAGTTCTGTCAGTTGTGTCAGTCAGTTCGTCAGCCGTAGACTTACTCCTGCGCCCTGTGAGGCTGGTTTAACGCAGGCCAGATGTCAGAGACCAAGGTGTGTTGGGAGTTGCTGGTGTTTCAGAGAAAATGAGAACTCCTCTCTGTCTGTGCAAATAACACGCTATACTGTATCTTGTGTGTGTTAAAAAAACGAAACATGGATGGCAGTGGAAGTATTGGATATTAAGTGGCCGTTGATGTTCTAATGTATTAAAATGAAAAAAAAATTAATCTGAATAATTTCCGATTAAATGTGACAGCAGTAATTTAAACAAATACAGTTGTACAAATTATGGTCTTTGTTGATCTTTTTGAATACACTAAACATTTGTTAGTTTTAAACAAAGAGCACAGAGTAATAATGTTGGATGGAGAGATGGAGACAGAGAGAGAGAGAGAAAGAAGGAGAGAGGGGGGGTGGGGGGGGTGGGGGCGGGACTGAACAGATTGAATGCCTAATGAAATGGGTACTTCCAGGCCTGAATAAATTCTCTGGTCTGGCGATCCCCCAGGATTCTGGCCTCCCAGGGAGATTAATGACCACTGGGCCATGGTATAATGAAGTAGTTTGCCTTGGCAATGTGCTTGTGAATTCATCACAGTGTCCACAAGTGGGCTGGTCAAGCACAACATCTTTATAAATCCCCTTCTCTCTTCTCTCCTGCTGCCACAGATTTATGGTTCTGCCACCCTCAAATGGTTTAGCCCCTCAGAGCAGACCCCGCCCTGGCTGACCATCACAGTCCTACCAAATCCAGGTCACTGCACTGATGGGGGAAAAATGGGAGGCTAATCAGATAATGGGAGGTGAAAATGGGCAAGAGCAAGTTGGAATCTTCAATCTCTCAAACCCCACTCTCTGTATCCCAGTGTGAATGATCACGTGTACAACTGCATGACTGCACATGTACAACAAGAGCCTATTGATCTCTTATATCAGTATCTGTACCATCAGGAAGGGTAAGCAAACACATCCACAGCAGTAATTTGACACGATTCAAAACAAGAGCTTTATTTGTTAAAGTCTAGAAAACATGTTTTAAAAAAGATATTCACCAGTCAAGCCAAAACATAGTTTTTTTGGGATAAAATTATGGTTTACAAAATTGCAAGAAATCATCTTACACATTTGTAAACCATGAATTTATTTATTTTTAAATCTACAACTATTCTTATGAAAGCTGCCATTGACATAATATTATACACATTTTACTGGACTTCTCAAAAATATGCTAAATATGAACTCTACATTGAACTTGCACTTGCACCTATTATTTTTTTTTGCATTTTGTTGTTTTGGGATTTATACACTGAATTGTTAATGATGAAATATCTCCCTTTAATAGCAGAGACCTATTTTAAGGTGAAAGGTCATGCCTTGGTTAAGGGCCCAGTGCTCCCTGTTCCACTAGCAACCTTTAAAATGCTTTGAGTACTGATGAGCCACAGAGTTGCAAGCCAGTCTGCTTGATAACCCTTGCTCCATATGTAATAGTGGCTGTGATATCAAAGCAGCCCAATGAGTCGCAGTAAAGGATATTTAGATTAAAGTGCATTTAATTTGGTTCTTTTTCAACAAGGTTGTGATATTTTCTCAACGTTTGCCATCCATTCTTCTTCTGGCTGCATTAAAAAACAAATTATGCCATTGTCTTAGTGTTTGTAGCCTAACCTGTTTTGGAATTAATATTAATGGGTGCAATAAATCCAAAATTGCATTATAGAAAGTTATGAAAAAAGGAATGTCAGAGTTTATTCTAATGCCTATTTAGCTTGTTTACCAAGAGCTGTTTTCACCCTGTGCTGCATGTACTCAGTAATTGTCAAAGGCTTTACATCCCCATTGTTTTCCAAGATGGCTTATCTTAATCTACGGTGTCTTATTTTTCTTGGAAAAGGATGGATGAGTGGAGTAATTGTACAGTTGACATCGGCTTAGACAACATCATCCCCTTAGTCCCCGGATAATCCCACAGAGTGATAACAATAATGGGAAAAAGAGAAAGAAGATATTTTCTCTTTACAAAAGAAGATATGCAGTTTAATTTGTAATTAGCTGCAGAGGTCAAAGACTTGAGCCACCATCTGAAGGTTATCCTCCCCATTATTTTTTTCCCCCTCGCTCACAAGTCAACCTCTGAATCAGATTACGACCTTGTTGTGAAGAAGTCAAGTGTTAATTGCATTTTTGTGTGTGTATGTATTCAGACGAAGATCAGTGAATAAGAATGTGAAATTTTTTCTCCATAACTGCTTGACAGTTTGAAAAGCGTGTGTGTGTGTTTGTGTGCGCACTGACGGTTGAAGGTGTAATTTATTTGGGGCGAGGGTTAAGACCCTGGACCCCCATCCACTCCCCATCCCATCTGCCATGAGTCAGACAAATCTGTGTGTGTTTCGTCTAGGTATGACTATACCAGTGGGGACATTTTTGTGAAACGGTTTGTTTTGGGGACACTTTGTCCTTGTGGGGACATTCTTTCAGGTCCCCATTGAGGAGGAAGAAGGAAGTTTAGAGTTGTAGAGTTATGATTAGAATTAAAGATGGGTTAGAGTTAGGGTTAAGATTAGAGGAACTTTTGGAACAGGGGTTAGTGAGTGGATTATGTCCATGTGAAGTACAACTCACAACTCATGGAAACCAGTGTGTGTGTATTTGTGTGTTTGTGCGTAGACCCTTGGGAACATTGAAGTGGCAGGTTTGCTCTCTTTTTGCTGTATGTGTTGGTGTAGAAAATAAGACCTTTTTCCTTGTGTGTGCATATGGCATGTTAACAGGGGTGTGTTTGTGTGTGTGTGTGTGTTTCAGTGTGAAGTATTGATCCCCCCCTCCTTCGTTATAATCAAGTGGAACTGCATCTCCATTACGAGCTGCCCCACCATTGGCTGGAGGTAATATGAAATTAGCTAGCGTGCCATGAGCCTGTCAGTATTGATTTCACTACCCAGATTACTTGTTACAAAAGAATAGAGCTGTCTGTGGCATAATTGAACAAGTTAACTCCTTGTCTCATAAAATGTAGGCCTGTATTGATTGTTGAAGGGAGGGTGCGGTGATATGCAGCGAGAAACTAAGTTGCATGGGTGTTAACTGTGAAGAGAGGTGCTGATGGTTTTGTTTCTTCCCCGCCTGTGTCACCCTGACATGTGGATGGAAGGCTTTTTTTTTTCTTGCTGACTGGCAGTATTGCAAACAGCAAATTAGCTGTTCCATCAGCTTCACGTTACACAAACCTCTCGTTTTTCCCGTCTGTC